CAAAGCATGAATATAAAATTTTGGAAGTCAAAACTGAAACGTAACACATAAAATTGATATTGTAGGCATATGTGAGCTGAAATGGGCAGGTATTGGCCATTTTGAATCTCATAATTATTTAGTTTACTATGCCAGAAATGTCAAAGTGAATAGAAATTTCAATGCACTTATCATCAAAAAGAACATCTCAAGATCTATCATGAAGTGTAATATTACCAGTAATAAGGTAATATCAATGTGCCTACAAGGAAGACCAGTCAATATCACCATTATTCAAATTTATGCACTGACCCCTAAAGCTAGTGATGATGAAATTGAAGAATTCTACCAAAATTTTCTATCTAAAATGATCAGATAATTAATACTTACTGGTGATTGAAATATGAAGGTTGTAAACAAAGAAGAAGGATCAGTAGTTGGAAAATATGGCCTTGGTGTTAGAAATAATGGTGGAGATCGCATAATAGAATTTTGCAAGGTTAAAAATGTATTGACTGAAAACACCTTATTTCAACAGCAAAAAAAAATGTGATACACATGGACCTTACTAGATCCAATACACAGGAATCAAATTGACTACATCTGTGGAACGAGAGGATGGAAACATTAAATACCATCAGTCAAAGAAAGGCTACAGATCACTTGTGGAATTGACCATTAAGCGCTCATATGCAAGTACAGGCTGAAGCTGAAGAAAATTAAAGCAAGTCAACAAGAGCCCGCCTCCCCCCTTCCCCGCCCAAAGACCTTGAATATGTTGTTTTGTCAGCTACGACTTATAGCGGCCCATGTAGCATTTCCAAGGAATGGCTAGTGCATTTGAACGGCCAACTTTGCAGTTCAAACCAACCTTGCAGTCCAGTGCTTATCCTACAGTGCCACACCAGGACTTCAACCTTGAGCATATTTCACTTGAATTTACAGAACAAGTCAATAACAGATTTGATGCATTAGACACTAACGACTGTAGTTCAGAAGAACTGTAAGATGACATCGAGAACATGACACAGGAAGAAAGCAAAAGGTCACTAAAAAGACAGGAAAGAAAGAAAAGATAAAATTGGATGTCAAAAGAGACTCTGAAACTTGCATTTGAGCATAGAGAAGCAAAAGTGAATGGAAGAAATGAGGAAGTAAAAGAGCTGAAAAGAAAATTTCAAAGGGCAGCTCAAGAAGACGAGGTCAGCAGTATAATGAAAGGTGCAAAGACCTGGAATTAGAAAAAAAGAGAAGACTCTCAGTATTTCTCAAGCAGAAAGAAATGAAAAATAAATCAATAAAATAAGCCTCAACTTGAAATATTGAAGGATTCTATTGAAGATTTCTGCAAAATATTGAATGATGCAGAAAGCATCAAAAGAAGATGGACAGAATGCACAGAATCACTGTACCAAAAATAAATGATCAATGTTCGGTGTTTTCTAGAGGCAGCATATGATCAATGTTCGGTGTTTTCTAGAGGCAGCAATGGTCCTGAAAGAAGTGCAAATTGCATAGAAGGCACTGGAGGGAAGCAAGTCTCTAGGAATTGACGGAACACAAATTGAAATGCTTCAATAAACTGATGTGAAGGTGCTCACTTGTATATTCCAAGAGATTTTGAAGACAGCTTCCTGATTAGCAGAAAATTTTTGCAGCATTAATTTTCCATATTAATTTATTGTAAAATCAACTGGATTATCTGTATGATCAATTGCCACCATTCTTTTAAAGCTTAAATCTCAATTAATCTGTTGGTAGCAATGTTGTCAAAATATAGACTGAGAATTCAAATGCAGAACTCTATGATTATAAAGTTAACTTTTAAAAGATTAAATTGTATGATTTATATGTAAGTAAGTGCCATGGAGTCGGTTCCGACTCACAGTGACCCTGTCTAAGTTTTCTGAGGCATGGCTGGTAGAATTGAAAACGCCAATCTTGCAGTTCAAACTGACCTTGCCATCCAGTGCGTTATCTGCAGTGCCACACCAGGACTCCAGTATGATTTATAGGTGCTTGTAGTATGAAATGGATTATTTATTTAATTAGAGGATCATCACTATTGAAATATTTTCTGATTCATCTGACAGTGGTAGACTATCCAAAAGTGTTCTTGTATCTATTGTTGTTGTTTGTGGTGCTAAGTGCCACTAAATCAGTTCTGATTCATGGGTGATACCATATAGGGTTTCTGAGGAGTGGCTGGTGGGTTTGAACTTCCAACCTTGTGGTTAATAGCCAAGTGCTTATCGTACAGCACTACACCAGGAATTTCATTGTTGTTGTTGAATGCTGTCGAGTCAGTTCCAACTCAAAGTGACCCTGTATAGGGTTTCTGAGGAGTGGCTGGTGGGTTTGAACTTCCAACCTTGTGGTTAATAGCCAAGTGCTTATCGTACAGCACTACACCAGGAATTTCATTGTTGTTGTTGAATGCTGTCGAGTCAGTTCCAACTCAAAGTGACCCTGTATAGGGTTTCTGAAGACTGTCTGGTGGATTTGAACCACCAATCTTGTGGTTAGCAGTTCAGTGCTTATCTTACAGAGAAAGGCTTGTTTAATTTTGGCTTCTATAAAGTCTATCAAAGAGTTTCCTATGTCTCAATAAAAAATTCTCAACTTATAATTTATCTTTCCAGAGGAGAAAAGTAAACAGTTCTTATATATCTCTTAATTATCAACATCCAATAGCTAGAAAAGGACATCATGATTGAGAAGGTGAAGGGTCAGTGGGAAGCTTTCAGTGAGATGGAATGACACAGTGGCCAAAACAATAGACTTAAATGACAAAACAACTGTTAATATGATGTAGTCTTCTGTTATATGTAAAATCTTTATGAGTTGAAGTTAACTCTATGGTAACTATTGTTTTTGTTGTTAAATGCCATCGAGTCAGCTCTGACTCATAGCTACTCTATGTACTACAGAACAAAACACCATATGGACCTCACAATTGCTACCATGCTTGATCCCATTGTTGCTGCGATTGTACTAATCCATTTTGTTGGGGGTCTCCCTCTTTTTTCACTATCCCTCCACTTTACCAAGCAACGATGGCAACTAACAAAAGCAAAAAATGTTACTACATTGATCAAAGAAGATCTGAAAGCCTCCTCTATTCATGCAACCAACGTACTTTTATTGAATTCCTATGGCATTTATTTTCTTTTGGAAATTTTAGTAGATACTAGGAATATGGTAAAAATACAATCTCAGCCTTTGATGAAATAATCAAACATTCTCATAGTCTGTGTCTATTTGATGCACAAATTAGATGATGCTGAAATTGAATCTATAGTCTACTGACTAAAAAAGTGATAAATGTGAAAATATTTCACAGACCATTTGTTTATTAAATTTACATTTTATTTGGGGTTCAAGCTCACCAGATACTCCTTGGAAACCCTACACAGGGTTGCTATGGGTCGGAATTGACTTGACAGCACTTAACAACAACAACAAGTTTATTTTGACATTGGGTGTCAATTTAATGTTCTTTTCTTTGATTGTAATATCTCAATAAGCAGTAATTACTCTATGAATGAGTCTATCTGTAAGCATAAGACCATTGTCAGTAAGGTGTTTCTTTGATGATTATGGTGCCAATAATATATACTATCACAAATAACTAATAAAAGTGAAAATGGCATAAACCCATTTCAACATCCTTCAGAAATAAGCAGCATTAAAGCAAATTAAAATCATTTAGAAATTTGCCATCCATATTTTACTAATATTGGAAAATGATTTTAATGAATAAATAATTATTGGGCCCTATGGGCTGCCAACCTCAAGGTCAGTGATTCAAAACTACCAGTGTTCTGAGGGAGAAAGATGAGGCATTCTGCTCCCATAAAAATTTACAGCCTCTGAAACCCTGTGCAGGGTCACTATGAATCGGAACTGACTTCACAGTACTTAACAACAACATTATGAGCTAGGCACCAAAGTAGACACATTCACATTTGTAGTCATTTTTAGTTCTTACAACAGTTAGTGCTATGAGAGATAGGCATCGTATATTCTACAAATGAGTGCATATGGTTTCTAGGAGCAGCTGGTGCGTTTGAACCACCACTGACCTTGCAGTTAGCAGTCCAATGCTTGCCTATAGTGCCACACCAGGACAACAATGAGAAAATTAGAGTTCAATAATTTGAGTTATTTGTTCATATACATTTCATTTCTGATTCAGAAAATGTGTACCCGTACCATCAGTCTCAATTATTCTGTCAGTTACACCATGGGACGGTTAGTAAGGAGTATGGTGACAGGGAACGATAACTAGCATATTGTATTTGTTTATCCACACACAGTCATATCTCTTTAAATATTTCATGAAAGTAAGAAAAACATAAATTTCTTATCAATTAATGGGAAACATCTAGTTAGAATAAGATACAATGGGGGAACAAAACTTGAACCTGTATTAAGATGGAGAAATTGACTGAAGAGCTTGAAAATAATTGTTTATATTAGTATGTAATTGTAATCACAGTCTGACTAGAAAGAATAAGTGGACAAATGGAGCGGCTGAGCACACTGGACTCAGGGAGAGAGAAGGGCTGTGTGCTGGCAGCGGGGGGGAGGGCATATGTCATGTACCCTTTGGTTATTTGATGATGCATACAGGGGACTGTAATCATTGCAATGAAACAAAATATGATAGGATGAGTGTAGAGCTAATGTTCTCCCATGTAAACCTCACAATAAAAACTTAAAAAAAAAGTGGAATAAAATTTGCCCAGATAAATGGATACAATGGGAAAACAGAAGGTGATACAAAACCAGAAAGCAGATATGCTTCTAAAAGGAAAAGAAGTTGGAAACAGAATAATTTGGTCTAAATGAACGTTTTCTGAGTTATAGTTCACATTGAAATTATAATTTCAGAAATATGTATATTATTATTTATTAAAATACGATAAAACAACTAGGCTACCAGCTCCTAGCACATTAGCAAAAAGATTATTATTTTGATCTCATAATCTCTGTCCTCAAAAATTCCCTTCAGCTTTTCATGTATCTTGCTTTTTTCTAGTAAGCCCACTCCTGTCCCATAGCTTCCACATAGCTGATTTGACATTTTTGTTACGTAGTGTGTAGATAAGTGGATTCAGCATGGGGGTAATGACATTGTAGAGCACAGACACCAACTTGTCCACAGAGAAAGTGGAGAAGGGCCGAGCATAGATGAAAATACAAGGTCCAAAAAAGAGTGTTACCACCATGAGATGGGAGGCACAGGTGGAGAGTGCCTTTCGTCTTCCCTCCTTAGAACGAATCTTGACAAGGATAGTGGCATAGGAAGAAAGCAGAACCACAAATGAGCTAGTAGAGATCAACCCACTGTTAGACACCATTAGTAATTCAATGACAAAAGTGTCTGCACAGGCAAGTTTGATGACAGGAGGAACATCGCAAAAGAAGTTGTCTACCTGGTTTGGCCCACAAAAGGGCAAATGGATAGTGAGAATTGTCTGAACAATGGAGTGTACAAACCCTCCTGTCCAGGAAGCAGCTACCAAAAAACAGCATAACCTTCGACTCATAATAGTCATGTAGTGCAGAGGAAGGCAAATTGCAACATAGCGATCATAAGCCATCACTGTAAGCAGAAACATCTCAGCTGCCCCTACAAAATGGAGAAAGAAGAGCTGCACGATGCACTGGTCATATGGAATGAGTTTTTCATTTTCAAGGAAGTCAGCCAGAAGCTTGGGAGTAGTTACAGTCGAATAACAGAGGTCCAGGAAAGAGAGATTGCCAAGAAGAAAGTACATAGGCGATGAATGCAAGTGGCTATCAGAAGCCACTGTGAGCATGATAAGGACATTGCCCACCCAAGTAGAAACATAGAAGAAGAGAAATAACACAAATAATGCTGCCTCAACAGCTGGTGTCTGGGAGAAGCCTGCTAGGACAAATTCTTTCACAAATTCTGTTTGGTTTTCATCCATTTGATCTGATGTTACCTAAAAATAAAATAAAAATAAAATAAAAATTAAACAATGAGGCATTAGTAACATTACAAAGGAATACATTTTCACACCAAAACTCAAGAATCTGTTCATTGATAACGAAATGCATTTTCTCCAGGATTCACTCTGATTGATTAGCAAGAAGAAATCACTTTATTCTTACTTGACATGAATATGAGTATATACTTTCCAATCAGCTCCAACCTTGAGTTAGTGATGAAGTGAACTAGGATTCTTTAGAGCAGGAAATCACCTGGTCTTGTGCCTTTAACTTTGACTTCATTCATCTCTCTCTTCAATCAATATTTTTTTTATCTTTCATTCTCAATATTAAGTATCAAGAAATATGCAGCATTTCCTCTAACTTATTAATACTTGGAATATAAAAATCTTTAGAAAATATTTGAAGGGAGAATTGCAGGAGAAATTTAAGATTCCAGTGCATGGATTTTAGGGTTTGTAGAGGTTTTATTTGGGATCAGAAAACCACACAATGTCAATGCTTAAATTAGTATATTAAACCTGTGATTCCCCTCGTCCCCAAGTCAAGCTAACTTGGGTGGACTTGCCCTTATGCAAATGACTGAAGGAAGATCATATTTCATGTTAGGCTTATGGCTATTTCATTGGCCCCAACCCAAGTTTCTTGATTGCCTGTCTAATTTATTATTGTCTACAGAATCCGTCTGTTACCTTAAAGCATATCTGGAGCATATAGGCACAAATTGTTTTTTTCACGATGCCAAAATAATCATAAAATAGCTCATCATGCGTTTGAATGATACTCCCTTTTGAATAAAAAGAAATTATTTCTCCAAAATAAAAATGAGCAGTTCTTTAATGTGTGTGTTTGATTCTATCCATCTTAATATAAACAATGACTAAAAGGTACTGATGTGGCACTGTGGGCTCATGCTTCAGACTGCAAAGTCGTTTGAACTGCAAGGTCGGTGGTTCAAGATCCCAGCTGCTACTTGGACCCTATACAGAATTTTTATGGGTCAGAATCGACTCAATGGCATTTAACAACAACAACAACAAAAGATACTACTCCATGCGTTGAAATGGGTGATAGTTTGTTGAGAATTTTGCAGTGACTATGAGAGATGTTATTGAGTTAAATCCCACAATCAAGTTCTGTTACATACAGTGCAACATTTTGGAAAATTAAGACATACTTTTTAATTTAAAGTTAAGAATTTTTTAAGTGGATAATTTTCTTTATCATATTGTTTTTGCCTTTTCTAAATCCATGAACTGTAAACTTCCACTTGACCAAATTAATAAAAAGTTAACCTTGTTTAAGAAGTAAATTTTAAGTAGGCAAAAATATATATATATACTTCTTATTCAAGGCTATTATGTAACTATATATATCTCATCTGTAATATGTTCTTTCATGATTAAAAGCATCAAGAAATTATATGAAGAAAATATCCCAAATCTTAGCATTATTATGTTTACAAAGAATCTCATTAACAAGTATAATGATTGCATAAAAAATAAAAGGAAAATAGCAATATGATAAACTTATAAGCACGGGAAATTATTAAAGAAACTAGACTAATGGTAAGGCCAATGAAATATTTATAAATGTTGATGTTGACTACTTCTTGTTGACAATTTTCAATTATCTGCTATGAACTCAATTATTTATGCTAGCAATATAAACTTTCTGTGAATTTATGACACTGAATACCCATAAGTTTTATTACTAACCATTTTATTTTTATATAAAAATGTTGACAATTTGGAAATTGTTAGCTTTATGTAGCTTACTTACTTATTACTTACAATAACTAAATTTTTAGTAAAAGTTCATGCAATTGTAATCCTTATAACTTGTTTTGAGAGTAGTGGTTGTTGTCTAATAACCTCAGAGTTTCTTCTTAAGCAAATTTTGTTTTTTCCCCCAGGATATATACATATATTTGCAAGAAGTATTGAACTAATTGTTCATTTTTCATAATTTTAATTGTTTTTGATTACTAAAAAATACATGCTATTTCTTAAATTTAGAAGCATGAAAATTTTGGAGAAAATAATCAATCTCCTAATCTGAGAGGTAAACACTGCTGTCTCTAACCATTTTTAAAAGTAATTTTCAAGTGCATTTTAGGCTGTTGATTTGTGTACTTGATGTAATATTGTATTTAACTTGTTGAGCTACTGAAGAAGACTCAAGATACTTCTAAGTGCTGATGTATATGGTAACAAGAGACATTGTATCAAGCAGTTGGATACACATGACAGGGTCATGAAGAAATGCATTCAGTACAACAGACTTTAAGGCAAATTACATACCTTTTGTCTGTAAAACAGAGATTCTTCAAATCCTACAGACACAAATGCCTAGCACATTAATACTATAGAACTGACCAGTCAAGTTTAAATAACATAGGATGGAACCCCCTGGTTACAATAGCAATCATTAAATTTTTTTTGATGTTTTGGGACTTAGGGATTCAGTTATTCACAGTTAAATTGCAAAGGGAATCATTAAAAAACTTTAATCACAACCTTTTGCCAGAAAGCATAGAATGTAAAAATGTATGTGTATAGGGTGATAAAAGGGTAAAAAACAATGAATGGGAGAAAATAAAACACAAGCAACAAACCAATGAGACACAATAATGTCAGTTGGTTTTTATTGAGGAGAAGGTAAGTCTTCTCCCAGACTACAGGATTGACGATGATGGAAAGCAGAATGAAACATTAAAGAAAGTTTGACTTCAGGTGACTTGGATTTTACCTAAAACTACAACTGTGCTTTCCCTCTTTGGAGTACCTTTCCTAAACTTAACTTCAGATTTTATTTCATTTTATTTTTTCAATCATTATAGAAATATGTAAACTAAAAAGAGAATGGGAAGACAGGAGAGGAAGGAAAGGAAGTAGGAAGAGAAGAGATAGTGACAGAAACACAAAGACAGAAATTGAGATTTAAAAAAAACTTTAACTTCTCAAAATCAGATCATTTAATAATACATGTTGTACTGCCATACTTGGGACATATTGTCAGGAGGGACCAGTCACTAGAGAAGCATATCATGTTTGGTAAAGTGGAGAGTCAGAGAAAAGAGGAAGACCTCCAACGAGATGAATTGGCACAGTGGCAGCATCATTGGGCTCAAGCATAGCAACAACTATGAGGCTGGCCCAGGATTGAGCAGGGTTTCATTCTGCTGTGCATAGAGTTACTATGAATCAGTACCAACTCGATGGCACCTAACAACAACATACTGGGTACATATTTTTCTGTAAATTGATTTTATTCCTCAGCAATACATTGTGGATATTGTTTCATGTTTTCATATACTGTATCCAGATCTTTTTAATTGATAACACTCATTCATTTATGACAAAAGATTTAGAAGACAGCTATCTGGCCACCAATTGAAAGAGATCCATATTTGTGCCCATTCCAAAGACAGGTGACCCGATGGAATGCAGAAATCATTGAACAATATCATTAACAATACATTAAGGTAAAATCTTGCTGAAGATAATTAAAAAATGGCCACAATAGTACACTGACAAAGAACTGCCAGAAATCCAAACCAGAGTCAGAAGACAATATAGAATTTGAGCTACCATTGCTGATATCAGGTAGATTTTAGCTGAAAGCAGAGAATATCAGAAAGATGTTTACTTGTGCTTTACCGACTTTGCAAAAACTTTTGACTGTGTGAATCATGGCAAACTAAGAATAACATTTTGAAGAATGAATATTCCAGAATATTTCATTGAACTCATGAGAAACCTATACATAAACCAAGAGGCAGTTGTTGGAACAGAATAAGAGGATAATGAATGGATTCAAATCAGGAAACATGTGCGCCAGAGTTGTATTCTTTTACCATACTTATTCAATCTATATGCTAAGCAAATAATCTTTAAAGCTGGATTGGATGAAGAAAAATATGACATCAGAATTGGAGGAATACTCATTAACATCCTGTAAGATGCAGATGATAAAACCTTGCTTGGTGGAAGTAAAGAGGTCTTAAAATTCTGATGAAAATGTAAAAATACAACTTTCAGTATGGATTTCACCTCAATGTCAAGAAATAAAAAATCCTCACAATCGAATCCGTAAATAACATCATGATAAATGGATAAAAAAAATGAAGTTGTCAGAAACTCCATATTGTTTGGATCCACAATCAGCACCATGAAAGCAGTAGTCAAGAAATCAAACAACATACTGAATTAAGTAAAGTTGCTGCACATGACCTCTTTAAAGTGTTTACAAGCAAATATATCAGTTTGAGGACTAACGTGCAACTGATCCAAGCCATGGTATTTTCAATAACCTTATATGTATGTGAAAGTTAGACAATGAATAAGGAAGAACGTAGAAAAATTGATGCATTTGAGTTATGGTGTTGGAGAAAAATGTTAAAGTACCATGGACTGCCAAAACAAACAAATGTGTGTTGGAAAAAGTACAGTGAGAACGCTCCTTAGAAGCTCCTTAGAATGTGCTTTAGACGGGTGAGACATGTTATCAGGAGGTACCAGTTCCTGGAGAAGGATATCATGCTTGGGATTAGCCAAAAAGAGGAAGACACCAATGAGAGGGATTGACACAGTGACAGCAACAAGGGACTCAAGCTTATTAACAACTGTGAGGATGGCCCAGAGACCTTCAGTGTTTCCTTCTGTTTTACATAGGTCTGCTGTGAATTGGAAACAACTCAATGGCACCTAAAAACAAACAACAATCTTTCAAAATAAAGGTTATACTGAAAGAAATACACTATATGAATTAGCATTTAGATAATCAAGTATTTATCACTATTTCAAATATTGCTGAAATTAATAGTTGCTTTGTGGTTAAGTGCTGTGAAGTCATTTCTACTCATAGTGACCCTGAAGGGGTGAAAAACTTCTGGCCCTTGGGCACTGTGTTGCTATTGTTTTTGTTGTTAATTGCCTTCGAGTCAGTTCCAACCCACAGCAACCCTGTATCGAGT